TTCAAAATGAGTAGTTTTTTATTGTTTACATTAAAAGACAATTGAGAAATTAATAAGATTACTTGATTTAGACAACAGGAAGAAAACAGTATTAACTGTAAAAAGACAAATTGGTGTTTCCTATTCTTTAATATCATTGTTCCTGTTTTCCATATGTTGCTATGAACTCAACATAATATAAAGTTTGTGTATTTGTGTGTGCATACACATAAAATCAAATATAAAATTGAAATGTCATATTTTAGATTAGTTTATACAAATGAAGAATTCGTTGTTTAAATATTTTAGCCACACAATTAACTTTCCTTACTTTCAACTTTTGACTGATTCCTCCCACTCCATCATATGAAAAGAAAGAAGTTTCTACAGAGACTTAAAATTTCCCAGGTATCTACTGACTCTGTCTACTCAAATGGCAGAGTGTCAAGGGCTGGAGGTGGAGCTCAGTAGTAGCCACGTGCCTAGCATACTCTGGACCCTAGGCTTGAGCCTCAGTACCACAAACAAGAAATAAAAAAGAGAACCAATAGTTCTCTCTGTATATAATTTAGTGAGTTACACTTATAGTCATAATGTAGACAAAAACCACAGAACTGTCTTTATTTGAAAAGCTAACAATCTAGGGGTCGGAAATATAACTCAGCAGCATAAGCACCTGCCTGGCAGGCATGAAGTCTTGAGTTTGATCCCCGGTACTGGGGGGAAAAAAAAAAAAAGAAGAAAAGAAAAGCTAACAATCTAAAAGATGTGTATAGAGAATACCTATTACTATTGTCAAGAATAAAAAGCTAGCAGAGACACTAAATCTCCTGGAAGAGAAAGTAGGAGGAACTCTTGAAGACATAGGGGTAGGCAAAGAGCTCGTGGACAGAAATCAAATCGCAAGGGAAACAGTTGAAAGAAATAACAAATGGGACCTGCTCTTACTGAGAAGTTTTTTCACGTTAAAAATAAATTACTAACAAAGTGAAAAGGCAACCCACAAATTTGGAAAAAATTATGACAAATAAGTACTCAGACAAAGGTCTGCTCTCTAGAATCTATAAAGAACTAAAAAACACTAGGGCCCCAAA